ACCCCGTGTCCCGGGTCGGGGTCGGGATGATTCGACACTACTTGTCGGTTCTCGTTCTCCCCTGCAGGGGCTAGGCTAACGGGGGAACCGGACGCAGGGAAGAGGAAAGGGGCCAAGAGAGGAGAAAGAGATAGAGAGACAGATGTGTTGTTGGGGTGTTGGGGCAACGAGTTTTTGCTGAATTTTGAACCACAAACCCTTGTCTTGCGCACTCCCGGCCGACCCGACGGCGCCGTGTGCAGCGTTGAAGCAGACCCTGAGTGAGGCGTTGGCTGCTGTCTCACCCACGCACCAAAAGGGGCCATGTAGGAACAATTCTCATTCCTTGAGAAGCTCGAGGGAAGGGGGGTTGGGGCGGCTGGCGGCTTGCGGCTGGCGCGCTTGGGCTGATATTCAGGGGAGCTTGTGTGGAAAAGTCTCATGGCCGCCTGCCGCCTGCACGGCTGCATCTAGGCGCGCGCTGGCGGTGAAGCCGTAAGAAATGTGTGTGTAGGAGTGGTGTACCTACCTGACGCAAGTTCCCCTCCCCCTGCATACAAATCCCCCACGCAAGTCATCTGCGCATGGAAATAAAACTCTAAAATATGGAAATCCATGACCGCAAAGCCACCGGTAAAACGGAAAGGTGGAATATCAGGAGAGGAGGAAGAGCATACGTTAGTAGTAGACCACAAGACCTGTACGGATATCAAAGAAATGAAACGAAGGATGAGAAGTACATACATATCACACGCTTACCTACGCATCTCCCCCTGTCCGCCCTGCGGCTACATGCGCGTGGCGCAGGCACACTGGCCTCAACGAACAGGCGCTTGGGCAGCACCGCAACGCCGCCAGCCGCGTGGAGGCGGCTGATGGTGGTGGTGCTGATGGGCAACCCGCACACCCGCAGCATGCTTTCTTTTCTCCCTCCCAACGGCGGGCGGCGGCGGACCGGTACGGCATCCGGGATCGCCAGGAGAGAAGCCGGGGATGCCGGCCCAAAGTCAAGGGTAGATGGTAGCAATGCAGGGCAACGGAGATCCGCTTCTCAGAGCCTCAGATCGGGGAGCTCAGACGGCTGGAAAGCCCCAGCGGCACGCTTTCTTCTTCCGAGCGCCCGAGCATCTGCTTGCTGCCTGACCGGGTCCGACCATAGGCGCGTCTGCGGATGGTTGCCGCGATGACAACAAGTGCAGGTCGAGTCGATTGCAAGGGGCGAAGGGCGAAGGGGGCAGGAGAGCAGAGGACGGCGAGTCATCGCGAGACTCGACGGCGGACTTTGTTCGGGTGATGGGCAAGGCGTACGAGCCGGGCATGACATGGGGAAGAACGGGGGGTTTTGCAGAGGCATTTTCTTCTTCTCGGTCATAGCTCGCGAGGTGGTGAGGCCTGGCTGAGCCAAGGAAGAAGGACTTCGGCCACGACCATAAGCCGAGCGGCATGTTACCCGAATCGCCGCTTGAGATCGCGATATCAGAGTGCAACACTGACTCGAAGGGCAGTGCCGATCTCGCCTCGCGATGCGCATGTACACAGTACCGTTGCACGCATCGAGTGCCGGAGGCACGGAGGGTCGAATGACCGGGGCTGGGTGTGGGGACCGTATCCCGTATCTGCCATGCCGGAGATCGGTGAGGTTGTGCCAGCATTCAGGCGAGGCATCTACCGTACGGCGGGCGGCACGCCAAAGCAGGCATGACTGAGAGCGGACGGTATGCTCCCGGCGCGGCATGGGCCCCCTCGGCCTGAAGAGGAACAGAGGGCTGAGACACGGCGGGGGATGGAAACAAAGCTTACCTGGGGCGTGCGAGAGCAGATGACAGCTCAGCGTCGGGCCCTAGGGGCAGCAAAAAACGCAGGCCCGCAGGAGGGATCTCGCATCACGCCATGCGAGATGCAATGCTGGCGAGGCGCCGGAGGTTGCAGCGACAGAGCAGACAAGACGTCGCACACGTGACGGCGGACGGGGTCGAACGGGGTCGAACGGGGTCCAAGGCTGGCCGGGCAGAGCCGCTGCGGCTTGGGCTGGACGTTTCGAAGTTCGGCGGGGGGCGCACGGCAGATTGCTTGGGCAACAACGGCTGGCTTCGAGGCGTCTGAGATGAGACGCGAGAGCGAGATTCCGCAGGGCGCAGGGTGTCGTGGCGGCGGTTCTGTCCTGTCGATGCTGGCTGCACAAAGCCGCCCTTGCGTCGCTTGTCGCGTGCCAGCAGCTGGGGCGGTGGCTGGCACCCATCGAGCGACAGGCACCGGGGGTCATCCGACGCTGCGAGCGCTGCGGGCGCTGCGGGCGCTGCGGGCGGTCGTGCCGTGTGTCGTGCCAGCGCCCGGCCCTTTTGGCCGCGGGGGAGGAGAGAGACATGCTGCAAGCGGGCGAGTGGTCGGTTTTGCGTTTCGCTAGCCAGCCGTGAGCCCGCTCAGGACCGTGGGCTGCAACTGCAACTGCGACTCGAGGCCGCCGGCGGGCGGGAGAGCGTCGCTGCATCCACACCCACCACGCCGCAGGAATGAGCATGCGAACACGATCGGGCGATGGGCGAGTAAACATGACGCCAGCCGCTGTGCCGCCGTCGCCCGGGAGGTGTTGCCGCATCAATCACGACGATTTTCATTGCAACTTGCCCGTTGCGGGCCCGTCACGCTTCGCGTCGCGCGCGCGCGCGCCCGGCCGGACTTTGCGCGCCGGACTTTGCGCAGGGCAGCGCGTCGAGGCAGGCAGGCAGCAGCAGGACGTCGCAGTGTGTGGGAAACCAGCGCGGGAAACCAGCGCACCGCCGGCTGCAGGGACTTGTCCCTTGGGCCTGCGGCGCAGCCGAGCTGCTGAAATGCTTGGCCCGCGGGCGGGGGACGAAAAAACAAAACCGCTGCTGGTGGTGCCCGGCCATTTGGCGCCAGCCTGCCACGACCACCCCTCCTCGCTGCTGCAATCCGCAAACGGGAATGCTACAAAAACGCAGCCGCGCGCCCGGCGTCGATTCCTGGTTCTGACTTCTGACCGACCCCTCGTCCCTCGTCCCAAGCAACCCGCGCCATCTGCCGCGCTCTGGCGGTGCCTGTGGTAGTCTTGCTGATCTCGCTGCCTGGTGCTGCTGTTCCTCTCACCGCAAGCCTGTAACTGGTGTTGCAGGTAGATTGGCCTGGGGCAGTTCCCCAAAAGAGGAAACGGGGGGGCGCCAGCCCTGCCGAGCTGCTGCACCACGCTCTCAGGGCCAAAGCGGGACCCCGTTTGCGCTAAGGGGGACCGCGCGCGAAATGGACCGCGGGCTCGACCAGCTGCGATGATGTGTGTGGCGCGCGGCCCAAAACCCTGGAAAAGAGGGCTGTGCGCCCGGCCGGCAGCAACCAGAGCCCGCCGCCCCCAGCCTAAAAAAAAAAAAAAAAAAAACCCGCCCGCCGCGCCAGGCACCGGCTTCATCAATCAACAAAAGGCTGCCTGCAGCGAACCGGCAACCGCCCAGCCGCCCGCCGAGTCCCTTGATTTGCGTGTCCCTCTCTTGGGGCCGCCCCCTCACCACCACCACCAGCCTGGCGAGACCCCCCCTCCCCCCACCGCGTTGATATTGATTGCTTTCCCAACCCAACGGGGCACCTCCGGCGCCGCGGAAGGGGGCAAACCGGCTCATCGCTTCATGCGGCATCCCCACTTCCAACCCAAGGAGAGGACAGAGAGGAGCGCGCTCGCGCTCGCGCGCCCCAGGCGCCCGCGCCCCTCCCCCCCTCCCCAAAAAAATTCCCAGCTGAAGCGTGATGAAGAGTGGACGAAACCCACTCCGCGTCCACGCACGCACCTCCCCTCATTCCCGTCCTTCCCCCCTCCCTCCCCCCAAGGCCCGGTGTCGCCGCGTGCAATCGGCCCAAATTTTTTAATTTTTTTGCATAGCGGCAGTAGTAGTGATGAATTTTTGCAGAGCTTGTGACTTGTGACCGGCGCCATGGTCTCCGCTCCTCCCCCCTTCCAAAGGCCAAGCGCCAAAAAAGGAATAAGAAGGGGAAAAAAAAAAGCGCACAAGGCCCCGACCCTGCGTTGTTCCGACTCCACAATCAGGCCCTCGTTACGACACCCTCGCGACCCCGGTTCCGAGCGGCGAGAAAAACAACAATATGATAGCGGATGCGCTTGGGGATTCGGGTTGTGAATGACCCAGAAAAAGGAGCGCCTTATCGGCTTTACTCTTTTTTTTTTCTCGACCCGATACTATCATCTGGGCTATCGGGGTTTGGCTTAATAACGAGTGTGCACGGGACATTTGTTTTTTTTTTTGCCCTGTTCCTCATCGATCTGAGCACAAGTAGTATGGAAATGGGTGCAAGTTACTGTTGTAATGTAGGTATTTATGAATGGTAGTCTTTTTTGCTTCGTTGTGATGTGATCGCCGACTCTCGTACTCTCCCTCCGCTCTCCGGCGTTTCTGCGGACGGCCTCTGTTCGGCTAGAGCGAAGTGAAACTATAATAAGAAAAATCGGTGGGGTGATGGCCAATGCTACAATGACGATAGAAAGAAATTGTTCGTGTGCTCCGAGTCCGAGCCGTCCGCTGGAAAATATCTTCTCCAGATCGTCAGAACCGCGGTTCCGACGATGATATACCTCCACCGATTTCTTCCGCAGCACTTCTCTGTCATCGCCATGTTGAGCAGCCAAGGATATCAAAACCATGAAAGTACCGGTAATCCGCCAAGGCTCCAGTTTCCGCGCTGAAAGTGCTCCCAATAAAAAAAAAATAGAAAACAAAACCCCGTGCCTTGTGTGTATCTCGAAAGAGCAACCGTTGAGAGCCCTAAGCCTAAAATGTGAACGCCTTTTTCCCCGAGGTTTGCTCCGGTCATAGCCATGACGGCATGCGTCTATTGCGTGGAATGCTCGTGAGTCAAATAGAGTTGAGAGAAAAGAAATTACTAAAGAAAATATGATTGGCGTTCGAAAGCAACCATCGCGGATGGAATGCCCGAAGCGGCCTCAACACCCAGTTGATGAAGCAGAAGCGAAATGGCATCGACCTGAGACGGGACCGAGTAGCCTATGCCTCGCGGTTGTGTGTTTTGGCGGCGAGAGCGAGGGTCTCGAGGCCGAACGTGCTGTGTTGACGGGATGCCGAGAGTTGAGGAGACATTTGGAAGTGCTCTGGAGACGGGTAGGACATGCCGTCAGAGTATGGCGAGGTCATGTACTCGCCGACAGGCTGCACGGCAGGGGCGCTGCTGAAGCTTGAGCGCGGGCTGATCAGGGAATTGGGATCCATGGAGGCGAGTTGAACCTGGGACTGGATAGGCGTGGGCCTTGGCCGGGAAGAGGTCTTGGTCTTTTTCACGCGGCTGTCATCGTCCACCTTGGCGGCATTGCGCGCGTTGCGGCCGTTCTGGTGAGTGCGGCGGTGCTGTTCCATGTTGTCCTTACGCGTGAAAGCCTTGCGGCAATCCGGGCAGACGGCATCCTTCTTGCCGGTGTGCTTCTTCGCGTGGCGTGCGGCGTGACCCGAGGTGGTAAAAAAATCCTTGCAGTGGTACTCCTTCGCAAGAGGGCACGGGTACGAGTTCTTCTTTGTCTTGGGCTGCGTGGGCGGCATGGGCTGGCGCTCGGTGCCAGGGGGGCGCATGAACACCTGGCATGCCTGAGGGTGAGCGTAGACCTGGCCCATCATGGTAGGGTACTGCGGCATCATGTCCTCCTGCTTGACCTGCTGCTGGTGGAAAGCACCGCCCATGAAGTAGGGCATTTGCTGCATGTTGGGCGAATCTTCCGGCTGCTCGTAGCTGAAAGTGGGCGTGGTGGGCGAAGGAGTGCTCATGGTCGCAGAGTCGGTGGAGTCGCTGCGGAGAAGTTGCGGAGTCTGCGGCGAGAGGCAGGGTGAAGAGTTATAGCTAGAAGTGCGCGAACGAAGACCCGGCTCTAGCGAGGGTAACCGGGTTACTGGTGCTGGAGCATGAGCTGCTGAGTCTTCGTTCAACAGCGAGATGCGGCGGCCAACCGAGTTTCTGCCGTCCATGATTTGCGATGTGTGCGGTAGTGGCGAGCGGATTAAGCGGGGCGACCCGATTTACGGAAAGGCGCTTGCTGGTACTGTGACGTGGTTGCGGAAGCAGGCGCGTCCGGTCTCTGCGGCAACAAGTACGGTTGACTGATCGAGTAGGGGATTGGAGGAAGAGGCACGCGCAGGTGGATGGATGATTGAGGGCGGCGGTGAGACTTGGCAGAACACGGGGTGGTGGTGGGTGGTTTGGAGGTGAGCTGCGGTTTGGCGGTTGCTGTGTTGGGACGAGACGTGGGCGAGCAGAGGCTTCTTATGGCGCGGAAGGACAAGGGCAGGGAATCGCGCGGGCGGCATCCAGGGCGCGCATCCAGCAGGGTTCTGCGCGATTGCCCAGGGTCGCATATGGGCTTTCGCAAAGCGCATCAGAATGGCATACTCAGACGCCAGTTAGGCCAGCTAGCGCCCCACGCAAAGCCACGGCTCGCGTGGATCTCGCAGGCCTCCTCGCCCCTCGACCGCAGCGAGCGCGCCCCCGGCCGCATCCCCCGCCAGGCGCCTCTCAGTGCCCACGCCGCCCCCCGCCCGCACCACCGCGCGCCGGCAACGACAAGGCGCCGCCGCGCGCAGCTGCTCGAGGGCGGGCAGCGGCCGCTTTCGGCTCGCGCAGCCTCGTGCCTTTCTCCGCGCAGGCCGCCACGACTCGCGCGCGGGCAGCGCATCCCTGGACCTCAGCTGGTGCATCGATCGATCGATTCCGTCCAATCTCTCAAGACGTGTGCCTCGCGCGCCCGTTTCTGGCACGCCCCACCCCGTCGTGCGGCTCGCCCGCCCACGAGCGCTGCCTGTGTCAATAGCGGGCTCCTTGCTTGCGGAGGTCGCGCCGTTCTGCCCTGCGCGCGCAACCGGCGCCGGCGCAGCGAAAACCGCGGCAGCGGCAACGCGGATCGCAGGCGAGTCAACGGCGCGCATTATTCAGTCAAGTGCAGCGTGGCTTCAGGCGCGCTGTGCTGCGTTCGCAGGCAGCTTCCGGCGCCAAAACGCCGTTGGCGATTACATCACAGGGCTTTGCGGCGGCAGGGTTCGCGCTCTCGCGCTGCCCTCGCTCCAGGTCCTCACCGGCCGCCGCGCTGCTGCCGGCCCCCTGCGCGCACCTTGCCCCGTGCGGCTAGCGGCCCTGAATTCTAGATCTCCCTATTAATCCTCGATCTCCTAGCACACTCGTCCTTCTCCTCGCCCACAGATGAACCTGCTGCCGCGACGATCTAGCTGCCGCGCTCCTGACGGCCGCCGCAGCAGGGCCTGCCGCCGCCGCGACCTTGTCCCCCGTCCGCCCAAGGCGCCCACGCGCCAATGGATGCCACTCCGCCGCACCGCGCCCAGTCAGTACTGTGTAATAGCAACCCAGCTGCCCTCTGGATCTCCGATCTGATCGCACATCGACTCACCAGCCCGGTTGGGCGCCAGCATGCGAAACGAAGCTCTCTGCTAGTGCCTGCGCCGCGGCGTCTCGCTGGCCACCGCTCCATTGGCCTCGCGTGCCTCTGCGCCTCCGCCGTGTCGCTGCGACCGACAAGAGCCTCGACGTGCCATGCAGGGCAAACGTCCGCTGCATATGACGTAGCACGAAGAGCCGACAGCACTCGGGCCACCGCCCACTCAGGGTCTCGCACCCGCTCGACTGGGTCACGGCCGCCGGAACGCCGTGGAAGCACGCCCTGCCCCGTCTGCGCCGGGATTTGCGCCTGCTGCTGCCAACCTGCCCTGGTCCTGGCCGCGAGGCTCTGCGCGCGGGCGGAGACAGCTGTCCGCCAGCCAGCTGCGTCGCGACGACGGTTCAGCACACTGCGCACCGCCGCCCCGGCACTCTGACTCTCGTCTGCGCGCCTGACGCAGATCGCACTCCCGGTTTCCCGCCCCCAATGCCGGCATGTTGCACAGCCAGCGCGTCCGCTCGCTCGTCTGTGTCCACAGGCTCTCGTCATCGTGGTTCCAGGACGAGCGCACGCGCCCTCACCTCCGCGCCTGTGCACGTGGGTTGATGCGCAGTGCGACGCCCCAAGCGAGTGCTGCCACTGCGATCGGAAACTCTACCAATCTGACAGGGCCACGCACTGTGGACAAGTCAATGCTTGTCCCCCCCAGAGTCCCAATGCCGGCTAGCAAGCCACAGCAGCCGCCCGACTTCCCGCTTTAGTAAGGTTGCGGTTAGAATGCGCGAGTCCAGAACGTCTGGAACATCGTGATAGAACCTGTGCTTGGGAGATCCGGAGATGAGGCCGTGCTATTTCCCTGTTTCGAGAAGCGGAGCATGAGAGGAGCGGTGACAACTCGCCCTGTCTCACGAGAGATGGGAGTCGGTATCTCCCTTTCGGGCTCGAGGCACCGAGCGTGCTGCCACGCAATCCCGAATCAGGACGGCACACTGCGGTGGTTGGCACCACGGCAATTGGTGGGAGCAGGACCCTGAATATCGTTCGCGTGCATCACGGTGAGGTAAGTCAGGAACGCCTGCTCGCTCGCGCCCACGGCCGCTTTGACCTACCCAAACGAGCTCTTGGCTACACTGGGGCCGGCAATAGCATCACTAGCCACAAGTGGCGCTGGCGGCACTTGCGCGGGTCATGCCCCCGTTGCTATGGGGCGCCCTCGGTCACTATGACGTAGAATGATGCCGAGCGATGACGAAATCGTTCGAGATCTCGATGGAGCCTGAGCTCGACGCCTGGAGCGCGTGTCCAGTTGTTTTGTCGAGCGGTGTGAGCGGAAAAAGGCGTCGAGGAAGAGAACGGCATTGTGAGAGCTCAGGGTCTGCTCTCAGCCGCCCCGGTGCAGGAAACAGGCAGGAACTGCACTGCAGGGACCAGGACTGATCTTGTTTGGGAGCCGGTACGGTGGCAACTGTGGCTGTAGGTAGGGAACCGGAGTCCATGCTGACGTTCGCTTCCATCCGGGCCGTTCGCAGACGACTGGTGAGGAAACTGCCGTGGGTTGTCCGCACTGGCCATGACAATCATGCCTATTGATGAACGAAAATTGGAGGTGCTCTCAGGCACAGACCCCGGGCTCCGCTGTGGCGGTTATACATGTTTACATCATTCTTCAGCAATGCCATCTCGGTTTCGGACCATGATCACGCGGACACCGCTCCGTACGAGTTTCTCGACGAGAACGGATTATTCCAGGCATCATCATCGTGACTCGTCGTGGGCGAAGGGATGGGTCTTTCTCTCATCCCAGCCTCTAGTCCGCCCGTGATATACGCCCCCCAGCTCGGAAACGGAAACGTCGAGGCGTTTTGGCGAGGGGCCCCGCAATGCATGCGCTAGTAAGCTGTCCAGCTCTATGCAAACATCCAACTTCCCTTGCATCGCAAACAGAATGGGCAACGAAACCACGAGTGCATCATGAAGAGACAGCCGTGTTTTGTGCAACTCAAAGCTGTGCAGAATGATGCTCTGGGCGATGCGACGTGCCACCTGTAACCCGTACCGACGGCAGCGTTTCGATTTAGACGCAGGCGCCCGTGCGCTAGGCCGGAGGCCATGGTCAACGGGCGTCAAAGCCGGGCGGCTGCGTCGATCGTCACTGTCGCTCGCAGAGTCACAACGACAGGTGCGGTGCGGCTGTCGCGCAACCTCGGGATTTGAGTTTCTTGCACGAGGTGGCCGAGCACGATTGATTGGGAAGCTTGGTCGCTTGGACTGCCAGGTGGCGGTGGGTGGTGGTGCGCACCGTGTAGCTTCGCCCGCTTCGCCCGCTTCGCCTGCTGCTCGATGCAGCCATTTGGGCGATGGCCAGGCGTTGCCCTGCTACAACCACCTGGGCAAGCCACAACGCCCGGAGATCGGTTGGGGACAGCATCCTTCAACGTTTCGCGCCAAGCAGCACGAGAAGATGCAGCGGGCCAGCTGACGCTGCTCACGTCTACACCAGGGATCAAGGCAATTTAGCGAGAAGTATGGAGACACTGGCAGCAGCTTTTCGCCGCACGCACACACCGCACGGAGAGCTCTCCACCGGCACATGCTCACCACGCGTCGCACATACCTTGGCGCTTGCGTCGGGGGGGACAATTCATCAGCGCTTCCGAAGACAACTCATCAGGACAGACCCAGCGTCCTTCAAAGCTTTGCTTGCGCCGAGGCAACGAATGACGACCCTGGTTGGTCCTCGCCCTCCTCCCCCTCTCCTTGCCCGTCTCGCATCCGGATCTCCGCGCAGCGACGAAAAAATACCTCTCGCCCAGCCGTGATCGAAGATTCGCTCTGCTCCCAGATTCCCACCTCCTGAGTCAGCTCCCACGCTCCAAGGCCCCGGCTAAGGGGAAGAGCACGTGCAATTCACGGCTAAGGTATATCCGCAAGCCCAGGCTGCTCCCTAGAGCAAAGCGGTCCTTTTCGTCTCTGCAGGTTGCTGCATAACGATACCGGGGGGAGATGCATGAAGACGCTGCCGGTACACCGCATGTGCAGAATGCACACGCCCACTTTCCTTCTCTCCCTCCCCCTCAGCTGCTGTGCTGACAAACGACTCATCCCACCCTGGCCTTGTAAGGACGGCCCGCCCGTTGTGCGCAAGTCTCCGAAGGCTTTGTTCCCCTGCATAAGCACGAAATGTTTTGCCAGCAGTGGCAGTATTAAGACTGGGGTGATGTTTAGCTATCGGCCCTACGCTGTCTTGAGAAGGAGAGCACCGAAACAGCAGACAATAATTAGTAGCAAATGAAAGCTTTGGGCTCGCGGCACAATGCTATTGGATCGGGCAGCAGGAACCCAAAGAAAGAGCAGAGAAAAAAAAGTAAAACTAAAAGCAAGAAACAAAGACCGCGTCCGGCGAATAAAGTGCCCTCGGCAACTGCTCCGGATGGTAGGAACCATTTCATATTCTTCAATAATAATAATCATACGATTTCCCATCCTTCCGGCGGCTGAACAGCGCTTATGCCCTAAGGAGATAGAGGGACGAGAACGACAGGCTTGCGGGCGCTGGCGTCCGCGTCTGTTGGCGCCTGCGGC